TAGCATCTCCGCGTGATAGCCAACGGACGTTGAAAATTCCCTGGTGTTCAAGATTTGTCTTGTGTATCTCTTGTTGCAGCTCCTTGAATCTGTCGTACCAAATGTTGGAACGGCAGATAATCTCTCCCACGGCTCGCACTGCAGCGTCGATCATGTTCAGGTCGGGGAAAGCCTTCGCAGCATCCTTGACCACGAGTGCTTCCCTGCAACACATCCAAGTGGTAGATTAGTTAAGCTTAACGATGAACGGTTTTACAGCATTGCATGCGATGATTGTCGAAAACGCTTAAGCGAAGCTCACCGATGCGCGACGCAGTGACATCCGACGAGATGCGGCACGTGCTCTTGCAAACGGCTAACCAGACCCTTCTTCTCCCCCGTCATCACAGAAGCTCCGTCGGTGCCGATGCCGGAAACCCGCTTGATGTCCACCCCAACAGACTCCAGGTGGCTTGTGAGCACAGTGAAAAGCGAGGAAGCATCGCACTTGTGCACCGTCAGTAGCGCCAGAAATTCCGTGACGGACACGCCATTTTTGAGGAAGGTGGCAAACACGATCAAATGTTTGCCGCGAGCGCGATCGGTGCTCTCGTCGCAAGTAATGCCGATGAATGGTGAAGCGAGAAGATGCTGCAGCTGCTGTGTTTTCTGGTACTTAGCCATCGCCGAGGCCATTTCGTTGAATCCGTACCTGCCACAAGCCGAGGTGAAAGCGCTTAGACACAAATGGAATGCGGAAACATTGGTTGCAACCTGGTATTTTGGCACACGCTTACTGTGTGATGTACACGCCGTAGGACTGAAGCGGTATGTCCTCTACTCCCTCCTCTGCGAGGAAGCCTATGAGCTTCTGAAACATCGCGATCGGTGCGTCGTTGTTGCAGATAAACTCCACGCCGCGCATGAGACGGGTCAGCCGCGCCCCCTCTTTGTCGGTATTGGCGAAGTCGTCGATCCTCTTCTGGTGCTCGATCTCCGCCATGAGCGTCCGCTGCCGCTTCATCGCTTCCTCGTGGCGGCCGCTCAGCTCGTGGCATCGCATTGATCCGAGCTGCAGATCACGGCCCCCCGTTCCGTTCCGTCCGAATTTCGCATCGTCCTTTCCATGCTCCACGAAGATGCTGCATCGCAGAATGGGCAGGCCGTCGGCGTTCTTGTCCAGCAGCAGCCAGCCAAATTTCGGCAGCCACTGCGTGATGTATAGCTGCTGCGCCTTCAAAAATCTCTCTTCAGCCTTCTCGGCGTCGGTGAGTTCACGGGAGACTGGCTTCGGAACTTGGAGTGGAGCGGGCGGCGGAGTCGGTTTCGCTGGTGGCGTGCCGAACGGTAGAACGGCCTGCGCGTAGCGACGCCTCTTCTTCGAGGCTGCAGACGATGATTCGCCCACCTCTGATACGCTGACAGTGGCGGGAGCACTGTCTGGCGTGACGGCATTGGAAGCAGGCGGGGGTGACAGACTCTGTTTCCCTTGCAGCAAGAAGACGGGCCTGGAGTGAAGACAAGCGGAGGGTTCGCATGCACCGCGCGCAGGAAATACAGGCCTGTTCGTGCGGGCACATCCTTCGATGGCTCGTCAACAGCTTCTCCGTCACTGTCCTCTGCAGGAGCCATGGCTGCTTAAGGACAGCAGGAGAACCGCCAACGTTGCTCTACTTGGCGTGAGTGCTGTGTTCTTGCGAACTGAAACCTCGCATGTGTTCATGACCCCTGTCATTTCGTGCCTCTGTTTCCTAACGTGCACGCAAACAAGCAGCGGAGCCTGCCTCAGTCGTGCAAGGAACGCGGTGCCCAGTGGGCTAGTGGGCACCGAATTGTTGCTGCAGTCAGCCAAGTTTCCAGCCAACCCGGCCTTGTTGTCAAGTCTTACAAACAGACCAACTAGCGGAGGTGGCGGTGCCAGCAAAGAAACTGTAACCCTGGCCAATAGTGGCCCTCTGTGTGCCAGCACAGGAGTTGTCAAGGCCGAAATTCCGGCCTCAGTGGCCTTGGTGGAATCCCAGGTTACGGGAAAGTGGGGGTGGGTGAACCGGGGGGAGGGGGGGGGGGGGTAGGGTACGCGTTACAGGGTAAAACTTGTTACGGGATCCGTAAACCCTTGGCCATCAGTGTGCCTTACAAAAAAAGCCTGACACATCAGGGTAAATCAACCTCCCAAAAAAAAAAACCCTAGCCCATCAGTGTAACCATCAAAAACCACCTTGATTATCAGGGTATCAGGGTGATTTACACTGATAAAATTAGGCCTGGTGGTAACGGTAATGGACCGTGGTTGTCGCGCGACGGGTCTGGGACTGAGGTTGGGAAAATTGTCGAAGCGGAGGCCCGGAGCGCGGGTTACCCGTCGAGTCGTGAGGTCGGGGTGCGACGTGCGAAAGTGGCGGGCGGATTGTCGATGCGAGGATCGCGAGTGATAACGGTGCTGACTGTGGTGCTACAGTGATGTACGCGTTGAGCAGGGATGCGAAGTAAGGAAAAGGGATTTTCCTTACACGTGCCTTCAAGCCTAAGCAGTTTAGATAAAATCAGAAGTGTACATTCCCTAAAGGCGTGCATCCCCCCCCCCCCCCCCCCCCCCCCTACCGTCCGGACGGTTGTGTAGTTATCGAAGTTGTTAAAGCTCGCCAACCGATTCGTCAGGAACTAAGCGACGCCCCATGTGTCGTATTGCATCCATACGTCGTCGCCTGCGTCGCGTAACGACTGTGCGATGTCGCACGCGTCCGGACTACGTCTGGACTTTCAGAGATTTTGGAAAAAGTACACGCCCTTAGCAATCAGGGTTGTGCAATGGGAGAGAAGACTGGTCTGGGGTTGGTTGGTGTATGCTTTTTGCGGTTTTGGTCCCATCCAATCTAACCACTTGCGAGGGCAAGGAAATTCGCTACAGTTCAATAGGATTCGATCGTACTATTCCGGCAGCTTTTAGCCGCGATCACAATCATTCGCACGTGTAACAGAGGTTTCAATTGAGGGGGAAAACCAAAGGCATTGCCACATTGGCGTGCCAGGGTGGCACGGAAATACAACTCTCCTCCACTCGTAATCGTGGACATGCAGCATGGACGGGTTACCCGGCATAGGCACCTCGAATTCCTTCCGCAGGCACTGAATTCCTCACCTCGTTCCGCAAATTCCGTGTTGATTGCGTTGCGAACGCGATGATCCCTGGGTCAGCACTGAACTGTGCACAAACATGAAGGCCAAACCATGGACAATGCGAAACGGGTTTTTATATGGGCCATCATAAAACATTTCGCTGTTATCACTAGCCGTAACGGCGCTATCATAAACGGTCACAAGACCCGCCAAATATATCACGAACCATCACACGGGTATCACCCGCCGTCACTCAAAGGCACTAAAATCTATCACGGGTAGTCACACCCGAGAGTTTGCTCTCACAGATGAGCCCCGTCATCATTTCGTTGACCCGCCCTGAAACACTGTACAGATTTAGGGACTATATTTTGGGCTGGGTGTTTTTGTTCTGTATACGCGACCATTTTGGTCGCAAAGGTACCTGGTTACGTTCGGTTCGACGTAACACACATTAATAAAAACAAAATCAATGAATCAATTTCAACGCATAAATACATTGCCAGAGTTCACAATTAATTGAATCTGCCTAAATGTTTATCGAGATGATCAACTATCAATGACTTGGAACGTACAATTTATATTTCGTTAAACAGCTGATACAATATTCAGAATGAGAATAATCTCACCGTAATACAGTAACACTAGCCGTCAGTTACATACAATATACATATAATAATTTGCACGCCAACCTATCCCCTCTCGCCAAGCTCTAAACATTAAGCGACAAGATGTTTAGGGTTGATGGCATCATGAATTGATGCCTTTCAGTAGAAGGATTATTTGTAATTGCGCTCGGGTCGCAAGCTCTGCTAGGTGGTGTCGTTTGTCTGTGCGTTTAAATTCTGAGGAAATAGGATGGCGTGGAAATTATGATACGTGTATTGTATGCAACTGAGGGCTAGTGTTACTGTATTACGGTGAGATTATTTTCATTCTGAATATTGTATCCGCTGTTTAGCGAAAAAAATTGTGCGTTCCAGGTCATGATGGTTTATCATCTTGTTAAACATTTAGGCAGATTCAATAAATTGTGAAATTTAGCAATGAATATATGCGTTAAAATTCATTCATTGTTTTTGTTCTATTAATGTGTGTTACGTCGAACCGAACGTAACCAGGTATCTTTGCGACCAAAATGATCGTGCATACAGGACAAAAACGCCCAGCCCGAAATATAGTCCCTAAATCTGTACAGTGTTTCAGGGCGGGTCAACAAAATGATGACGGGGCTCATCTGTGAGAGCAAACTTTCGAGTGTGACTACCCGTGATAGATTTTAGTGCCTTTGAGTGACGGCGGGTGATACCCGTGTGATGGTTCGTGATATATTTGGCGGGTCTTGTGACCGTTTGTAATAGTGCCGTGACTGCTCGTGATAACTGCGAAATGTTTTATGATAGCCCATATAGAAACCCATGCGAAACAGCACAATGAGGAAGTTTCAAAACCGATGCGAATCACCAGCATCACGCCTCTATCCTTCCCATGCTAGCTGCCATGCACAGTACACACACGTATTCCATTCCAGCAGCCTTGGAATTTTCTGGTGGTCCTGTTTTCCTTACGGGACGTGGATGGCTTGGCTTTCCACTCTTCACCTCACACTTCTAGTTTGGGTTTGCCCGTTAGCCTGCTCCGACCTGGGCCCTGCGGAATCTTGTCCAAGCACAGGGAAGTTCGAGAAATTCCTCCCCCGAGATCACCAGGCACAGTGAGCTCGCCAGCGTGATTTCGTGAATGGAGTTGGTTGTTTGCACGTCATCTCTCGGAGTTGGTTGTTTGCACGTCATCTCTCCTCCCCCAGTTCCAGCTCCTGCCTCCGTTTCAAACCCTAGATTTCGTGGCTTCACTAACCGTCACTCAACTCAGCATCTCTCACCTCCGCGCATGGTTCGTTTGCAATGGCGGACGTCGCCACGTGTGCAGCTCCGCCGATAGACCACACGCATTTGCACCAGCACGCGCAGCTCTCGCAGCACCATTCCCCCCAGCAGCAGGGAGCAGTCGCGGAATCGCGCGGAGGCCACTTGACCCGCCGACTGCTAAGCCTCGCTTTGCCGCTCCGCGCGGCTACTAAGCGCACCATGCCGCCCGGCGATTCGCCCAGGCGTCGCTGGGTGGTGGAAGTGCCTCTGTCCACCGCTCTCAACGCCACCGACCGCGAGTCGACGGCGGCACTGGGTCGATGCGTGGAGGACGCGTGGACTGTGGTGCAGCGCGCCGTTGCTGACGTGGCTCGGCAACAAGCCACGTCGCAGGTGGTGCTGGTGCTGGTGCTGGTGGTGCCATCGTCGGCCGCGGGAATTCCCGGCGAGGGGGATAGAGGGGAGGAGGGGAGGCAAGACGGCGAGCGCGAGGGGGAGGAAGGCTTTGAGGCGTGGGTGGTGCAGCGCGTTCTCCGACCGCTGGTGCAGCGAGCGACGCGAGCCAAGGTGCGTCACGCAGGTAAAGGTGAAATCTGCCAGGGAAACCTTCCCGCTGCTCGCATTTCTGTCACGTTCGCCTCATTTCGCGTCCGTGCGCCAACGGGCGTCACATTCTGATGCCACTCTTCCTTTCCCCCCACCCCCCCTCTCCCTCTCCCCCTTCCCCTCTCCCTCTTCCCGGCCCCTGTGCCCCGCCTCCCTCGTTATCTCGCAGGTGCTGGCCGCCTTCCACGTGGAAAGGTCAGCGTCGCAGGGCGGAGCTGGCAGTTCGCGTTTGCCACATCAGCAGCAGCGTGTGCACGGCGTGTGTGCCGCTGCGCGCCACTTCGACGCGGCGCGCGTGTACCTGCCATCCAACCTCTTCACCGCATCCAACGCCGTGGACTCCGCCGCTGAATCTTTCGCCGAATCCGCCGGTTGCCAAGCTTCACAGGTAGCAGAATCGCCCCGCGCAGCCCTCGCGCCTCCCCCGTCGCCTGCGCTGATGCGCGCGCTGCTGCCCCCCCAGTGCGCGCTCATCATGACCGCCTCCGCGCGCCATCAGCCCGACGGGGCGAGAATAAGCGGGGGGGCGGTCGGTGAGGTGGGGCGGGGGGAAGCAGGCCTCCGCGACGGCAGTGGCGGGCGCGAAGGGTTAACGGCGGTGGCAGGCGCCAGTGACTTCCACGGCGACCTGTTCCCGTCGCCCTCTCACACCACGGCAGATGGTGACGGCGGTGCTGCTGGCAGTGTTGCTGTTGGTTTTGGTGGTGTTGCTAGTAGTGACGGTAGTGGTGGTGGTGGTGGCGCTGCTGCTGCTGGCTCTGCACGTGCCGCGTTGGGCGAGCAGGTAGGACGGCGGGGGGGGGCTCGCGGGGGTAGTGTTCCGCCCGCCGCCATCGCACGGGCGCGCCTACAGCAGCCAACCGCACAGGCGGAGATGATGCGGCAAGGCCAGGGGCAGGCGCAAGGAGTGGGGAGGGAAGCAGGCGGAAGCGGCGCAGGATCAGCGGGGGAGATTGCTTCCTCCGAGCGGATGCGGAGGGCGCAGGAGGAGCGCGGTGCGGTAATGAGACGCGAGGGCGGTGACAGGGTGGGGCCGGGGGAAGGCGATGGAAGGGTGGCGGGGGGGAACGGCGGAAGTGCGCAGTGGCGCTTACAGAACTCCGCCATGCCGCTGCAGCGCCGTGGAGGGGGAGGGGCGCACGACGGCGGCGGCGCGGCTCGTAGTGCCGGGCGGGAACCGCCTGTGCAAGGGCGCGCGTTAGCGGACAGGCTGTCGAGCGCGGGGAACTCGAGGAGTGGGCCACTGCCGTCTGTGCCCACAGCAGAGCGCGGTGACGGTGCGGTGCAGGCGCGGAGAGAAGGGGAGGGCGCGGGATGGATTCGCGGGGTCGCGGGTGGGGAGCAGGATAGAGAGGGCGGAGTAGTGAGACAGGCAGGCGGCGCTGGGCAGTCGGCAGTGGGGGCGCGGTCGGGGCCAATGCAGCTGCTGGGTGCCGCCACGCAAGGCTGGTCGCAACCTGGGAAGCAGCAGCTTCAGCCGCAGCAGGGGGGGCAGCAGCGGCAGGGTAAGGGGGAGCGTGAGCGGTGGCAGGATGTGTTAGCGGGGGTGGGTGGCGGAGAGGCATGGGTGGAGGCGGCGGAGGTGGATTCGCAGCTGACGCAGTGGCTGCTGGGGAAGGCGGCGCCCGCGCCCCTGTCCCCGTCCCCGTCCGTTCCCCCGCGCTCACTTTACTCTCTCAGCGCAGGCCACGGCATGCCGTCGCCCCTCTCCTCCCCGCCCCCCCTCTATCCCAGCTTCGTACCCGCCAGCCACACCATGCCCGTAGGGCCGTCCGCGGCCCCGGGCCACGCCATTCCCCCCTCCGTCTCCGCTCCCCCGGGTGCGCCCATGCCTGCTCCATGCGGGGCCACCTCGCCCGCCACCCCTCCGCGTGCCGCACAGTGCGTAACAGGTTCAGGCAGTGGCAGCAGCAGCAGCAGGTACGGTGAAGAGAATATGCTTGTTAATTCCGCAGCAGCCGCAGCAGGTGCTAGTGCAGGCGTGACAACATACCCCTCCCCCGCCACCACTTCCCCCTCTCTTTCCCCTTCCCCGTCGACCATCACGCCCCCCCGATCCCCCTGGTCTCTCCCGCGCGCTCCCCGCCTCCCCGCCGCCACGCCGCTCCCCGCTGCGCCTCCGCCGGTGGTGAAGGAGCGCCCCAAGGGCGGGCTGTTTCAGCGCCGCCAGCTCAAGCGCGGCGGCAGCGAGGGTTGCCGCAGCGTTCTCGACGCCGTCGCTGTAGCCTCCTCCGCCCGCTCCCCCGCCGTTCCCCCTTCCGCGCATTCCTCCTCCGTGCTCCCCATCTCCCCCATTTCGCCTCACACCTTCTCCGTCTCACTCTCCGCCGCCGTCTCCCCCATCCGCGCGTCGCTCTCTCCGGATCCCTCCGCCGCCGCGGGCGCGGCACCTGGCGCGCTCATATGGGGCGGGGAAGTGTTTCCGCATGGTGCGTGGAACGGAGCGGGCGCGGCGGGAGTGACTGGGGAAGCGGTGAGCGAGGAGCGCGAGAAGGGGGAGTGGGAGATGGCGGGGCGGCAGCTGGTAGTGCAGGTGCGGGAGGTGGAAAAGGGGGAGGGTGCGCGCAAAGGGCCAGTGGGGGGCGGGAAGGCGGAGGTCGGGGAGGAGGGCAAGGGGAGGAAAGAGGCGCCTTGCCCGAGCGAGGGGGAGAGCGAGAGGGCACGAGAGGTGGTGGCGGCGGCGGCGGCGCGGCGGTGGCTGATGGACGAATTGGCGGCGCTGGGCGTGAACAGCGGGGAGGAGAGCGGGGCGGGGGAGGGGGAGGAGGAGGGGGAAGGGGAGGGCGTGAGGGAGAAGGGCGCGCGGGAGCGGGGCGTGCGAGTGAGCGGGCTGGAGAGACGCGTGGTGAGCCGGCGGTCGCCCACCAGAGAGCAGTGGGCGGACGAGGTGAGTCCCTGCTGCTGCCGCTGCTGCTGCGCCCCCCCTTCTTATCTGTGCATCTGCGCCTCCCCTCCCTCCCGCCCCCGCCCACCCCCTCCCCCCTCTTGCTGGCTTCCCCACTCTGTGCGCCGCAGTCTCGGCCCCACGCGCGCGCCCTCGCTCCTCAGCCATGTCTGTACCTCCAGTCCCCTTCACCCGCCCCCACGGCCCTCATCTCACATTCCTTCTCCTTCCCCTCTCTCCCTCCTTGTCTTTCCCCCCGCTTCCTTCTCCACTTGATTCCCCCCGTTCCCTCCTCCCCCGCATCCCTGTCGTTACAGCGTAATCCCAGCCGTCTATCGCGCTCCTCGCTCTCCCTGCCGCGCCACTTCGTGCCGCTGCCCGCCCAAGTGACCCCCCCAGCACCCGCGCCCGCCGTCGGCTCCTTCTCGGGCCCGCTTCACCTGGGCGCCGCCAATACCGCGGGTAGCGCGGGCGCCGCCAGCAGCGCGGGCAGACGGGCGGCGGGCGCAGGGGAGCGACAGGGCGAAGGGGGAGCGGGAAGGGAAGGGAGTGAGAGGCAGCGAGCGTGGGAGGGGGCAGCAGGGGGGCCGGGCGAGGAGAGCGGGGAGGGAGGGGGGATTCGAGAGCAGCAGGTGAACGCACATACTGGCGGCAGTGCTGGCGGGGATGGTGGCATTCATGGTGGTAGCGCGGATGGTGGCGGGGGTGCCTCCAGCACGTTGCTTGAGCGCCCGCCCTCCCCCGCTCCCTGGGTATGTTTCGCTCATGCGCGCCCGCTGCGACTGCCCCGCACGCCATGCCATCCCGCAGGCCATTATGCCATCCCGAACTCTATGCCCCGCCATGTGTTCTGCAATCCCCTCAGAATCACTTTCTCCTCTGCATCTCACATTTGTCTCACCCTCTCCTCCCCATTCCTCTTCCCCCGCTGCCCATGCCAGGTCCCTCGCCCCGGCCAGTCGTCCGCGCGCCTCGCGCGCACCAGCAGCTCCATCTCCTCTGCTGCGCGCCCGCCCTGCGCTGCTGCCCCGGGGGGGCGACCTGGGGGGAGCATTGGCGGGAGCACAGGCGGAAGCGCAGGCGGAAACACAGGCGGGAGCATGGGGGGCATGGGGACAAACATGGGGGGGAGCATGAGCGGCAGTTGGATCAATCCGAACATGCGCGCCGGCACAGCGGCGGCGGGGGGAAGGAGGGTAGCAGGGGCGGGGAGACAGGGACAACCGGGCATGGGTGGAGTGCGGCGACCAGCAACAGGAGCAGGCAGCGTAGGCAGCGTGGGCAGCACAGGCAGCACGGGCATGAGGGGCAGCATAGGCGGGAGGAGCGCGAGCATGGAGGTGGCGCGCGCGCGGCTGCTGGCAGAGGACGCGGCGCTCACAGACGCCATCCTCACTGGCGCCCTCATGCCGCCCCCCGCCTCCTCCTCGGCCTCCGCCTCCCTGCGCTTCCCCCAGCGCTCGCAGCAAGGCAGTACGGCCAGTGCTAGCAGCAACGGCGGTGGTATGGTTGGCAGCAGCATGTGTGGCAGTCACAGCATCAGCGTGGTGATTGGGCGGCGCAGCCTGGACAGCAGCAGCAGCAGCAGCGGCGTGGTGCTGCAGAGACAGGCCAGTGCGGCGCTCAAACGACAGGGCAGCATGCGGCAGGGCGGCGGGCAGGGCGGTGGGCAGGGCGGCATGGGGCAGGGCGGCATGGGGCAGGGCGGCATGGGGCAGGGCGGCATGGGGCAGGGCGGCACGGGGCAGGGCGGCAAAGCCTTGAGCAGGCAGAGCAGCAATGCTTCCCACAGGCTCAGCAGCAGCAGCAGCAGCAGCACGGGCATGAGAGCCGCAAGCAGCACACGCAACACCACCCCAACCACTCCAACCACTCCCACCACCCCCACCCGTGCCACTGCACCCACCACCCCCACCACCCCCCCAACCCCCACGGCTACCAGCATTGCATCAGCAGCAGGCAGCCCCCTCCACAGCACCGCCACCACTCCCACGGGCGGCAGCGGCAGAAGCAGCGGCAGCGGCAGCGGCAGGAGCCCAGCGAGGCTGCCAGCAGGGCAGCGGTCGCGCGTGTTCACCCCCGCAGACCTCGCCCGTGCCACCGACAACTTCCACTCGTCCCGCCTGGTGGGGTCGGGTGCGTACGGCCCCGTGTTCCGCGGCGCCATCCACGGCTGTGACGTGGCCGTCAAGCGCCTAAGGGCGCGAGAGGGGCGCGCGCGCAGCGAGGGGCGAGAGGCGTTCAAGCGCGAGGTGCAGGTGCTGAGCCGCGTGCGGCACCCCAACGTGGTGCTGCTCATGGGGTGCTGCCCGCAGGACCTGTCGCTTGTCTATGAGTTCATGGCGGGGGGGAGTTTGCAGCACCGGCTGGCAGCGCAGCACAAGCGGGGCGCGCAGGAGCAGGAGAAGGCAGCGAGCAGCAGTGGCAAGTCCCCGTCCTTCTCCTCTTCCTCCTCCGGCCAGCTCTCCTCCCTTTCCCCCGTGTCCCCTTCCCCCCCCGCCTCCCCCATCGCGTCGTCGCCCCCGCCCCTGCCGTGGCACGACCGGCTGCGCATTCTCTCCGAGGTGGCCTCGGCGCTGCTGTACCTGCACCGCTGCTCACCGCCCATCGTGCACCGCGACTTAAAGCCTGACAACATCCTGCTGGACGCGCACGGCACCAGCAAGATCGCGGACGTGGGGCTCGCATGCCTGCTGCGAGACGGGAGCACGGTGGTAACCACCCACCGCATGCGCGGCACCGTGGGATTCATCGACCCGGAGGCCATTGCATGCGGCGAGCTCTCCCCCGCCTCCGATGTGTATGCGCTGGGGGTCGTGGCGCTCATGCTACTCACCGGTGCTGATTCCCCCAAGCACGTGCACCGCCTGCTCGCCCTCTGCCCCACCACCATCTCCTCCCCGCCTCCCCCCTCCCCCACCACCCTGCACGCCACCGCTGGCACCGACAGTGACAGCGACCCGCCTCTGACGCCCAGGAGCGCCCTGCCGGCAGTGCCCACACGTGACCTGCCGCAGTCAGTGGCCATCCTGCAGCCGCACCTGGACACGCTGGCGGGCGCGTGGCCTGCTGACGTGGCGCAGCGCGTGCTGCGGGTGGCGGTGCGGTGTGTGGAGCGGGATGCGCGCATGCGAGCGGACCTGGCGGGGGAGGTGGTGCCGGCGTTCAGTGAGGCGGCTGCTGCTGGCCGGGCCGATGTGACTCGGCGCAGTGATGCTCTTGAGAGCACTCTCGTGTGCCCGCTCTCCAAGGTACTGCTGGGTTGCTGTCGGGTGCTGTTGGGGAATTTGTCGCGATGCTGTTGGCGTCTGTGTATTGTCGGGTGCTGTGGGGGTGCTGTGGGTGGGGTGCTTTCAGGGTGCTGTTTCAGGTGCCGCCAGCTCGTTTCCTTCCACTCTCCAATGTTCCGTTCCTCACTAAACCCCTCCCTTCCCAACTACCAGTTCACTCACTCGCTTCCCCTGTCTTCTCCCCCCTCCCTCCCTCCCTCCCTCCCTCCCTCCCTCCCTCCCCGCCCTTCACTCCACACAGCAACGCATGGAGGACCCGGTGATAGCAGCGGACGGGTTCACATACGAGCGGCGCCACATGGAGGCGTGGCTGGCATCGTCGCTCCTCTCGCCCTCCACCGGCCAGCCCCTCCCCCACCCGGGCCTCACCCCCAACCACCTCCTGCGCTCCATCATTCTGGGATCCCAGGGTAATCAGGCCTCCCGCAACTGAGGCATGTCCCAGGTCAGGTATCTTCCAGGGGAGGTAGCATCCAACAACCTGGCCAACTGCAAGTGAGGCATGGTGAGTTAAGGGGCCAGGCATGTTCAGGGCAGTGAGGCCAACCACCTGCTGCGCTCCATCATCCTCGGACCTCTGCTCCCAGGGCTCCCAGGCCTCCCGCTACTGAGGCTGAAGCAGGGGACGTAGCATACAGGGCAGGGGAGGCAGCATACAGGGCAACAACGGCTGAAGCGCCATAGAGGGGAGGAAGGGGTGAGCATGGCGCCTGGATGTGGTGCGGGGTTGCAATGGGGGGATGGACTAAGTGGAGTGGGGGGAGTGGAGGCGAGAAGTGGAGTGGAGGGGTGAAGACGGGGTGAAGAGGAGGCCTTTGTTTTTAGCACCTGCGCTCTGTTTTGCACTCTGTTTACGTGTTTTTACGGCAAGATAATTTTGCCAGCTTAGCATTAGGTACGATAATAGGAGTTTAATTATTGTATTTATTAGAGTATAATTCAAATAGTGGTGCCATTTTACACTATGAATGCGACATATCTTAAGTGTTTCCTGTTGTAATGCAACACATGCACGCACGCACTCAGCTCCGCATCCCGCTCTCCAGCGCGCCCTTACTGTAATCTGCTCGTTTACTCCCCTCACCCCTCCCCTACAAGCCGGCACACCTGCTCTACACTCCAAGCAGCACCCGCCCGCGTGCGCCCTCTATTCCCACCGCCGCGCATCTTCTCGTGCCCCCTGCCACTGCCACGTCTCGCGTCGCACGTCCCCGTTTTCCGTCCACTTCCCTTTCCTGGTAGACGCCCCTTTCCGCGGAATCCTTCCCCACTCTCGCGGTTCCCTTTTCCGCACCTTCTTTTCCTCCTTCTCGCTCCTCGCCTCTTTGCGCGCATCTCATTCGCGCGCGTTCCGCATTCGGCGCGCCTGCGCCTTCGGGAGGGATGAGTGCCCCGTCGTCGCTCGCCGTGCCACCTGCCACCCTGCCTGCCGGCGGCGGAAAGCAGCGGGGGGAACGGCGTCGGGAGGGCGCGCGGGGCAGCAAGGGGGACGCCTCTGCGGACTGGAGCGAGATTGTGGAGGCGGGGGAGGGACGCGGCGCTGTCGGGGGGAATTCGCGCAGCAGAGGCGCACGATGTATGCTCGGGGGAGGGGAGTGGTGCGGGGAAAGAGGGGCGGGGCGAGGGGTTTGTTGGCGCGGGTGTGTGAGGGGGGAAGTAAACGCGGCTGGGTTGGGCTGGGTGAGCGGGTCGGTGGGTCGCAGGGGTGTGAGCCGCTGGCTGTGGTGGCCCGGGGAGAGGCAAACGGTTGCCGCCCGCATGGCCATGTCCCATGCCATGCCGCCACTTTCACCCTCTACTTACACTCTCTCCTTCTCCCTTCTCTTTCCTCCCTCCTCTCCCTTCACCCCAACTCATCACCTGTCCGCAGCGCCCACCTCGCCACGCTCCCCCACGCGGGCAGCTGTGTCTCCGCGTCACTCGACCCAAGCGCCCCTCTCCCCCCGCCCCGCCTCCCCTCGCCATTTTTCCTACAACCTGCGCCTCCCTTGCGCGACTTCCATCGCCCACCCGCTCCTCACCATCCCGCGCGCCCTGCTGCTCGCGCTGCTCCTCGCTGGGGCCCTCGCTCTGTTCGCCCTCCTGCCGCCCTCCGTACGATTTTCTGCTCTATATTGCCCTGCCGTGCCGTACCATGCCGTGCCTTGCCGTGCCGTCCCTTGCTGTGGCGATTCGTGATGCCAGTCTGTCAGCATTTCGCTCGCCATGCCGCCTGTTTGTGCTTCCACCGTTGTGCTATTCTACATAGTGCTGCCGGAATCACACCATGCTGCTTGCTCCACCGCACCATTTCGTCTTTCCTCTCACTTCCTCCCATCGTTCCATACACCCTCCGTCGTCCCATCACCCTCCCCTCAGGCCCATCATAGCACCTCCTCCGAAGCAACCCCGCACTCTGCCGCTGCTGCAGGCACCACCCCCGGGTACTGCCCTCCCTCGCCCCCACCCCATCGCTCATATTACATCCCACCATCCCCATGCCAGATTCTCTTTCCCCACCCCATCCGTCCATCCGTCCATCCGTTCCACCATCCCTGGTCCGTGCGTCCCCCTGCCACCCATCTCTCTCTTCTCTCCATTTCCCGCTTCCCCTCTGCCCATGCGCCCTCTCCGGTGCTTCCGCACGTGTCCCTGCCTGCAACCCCCTGTAGTGCCTCACCCCAGCAGTCGCGGCTGTGGCAGCTGCTGCAGCGCCAGCAGCACCTGCACGCACAGCAGGAGTGGGGGCGACTGCACCAGTCGCTGCTGCTGCCGCTGCACCACCGCTTCTCCCGCTGGTCGCTCTTTGCCTCTCTCTTCCATGTGCGTGTGCCCTCTGCTCTGCTCTGCATTTGCGCATGCTCTGCCCGCTGGTTTCTCAATGCTCCCTGTCACGTCACATTCTGCATTTTGCCATCTGTTCTCCACTCCCCTCTTCTCACCTTCCCACTACATTTTTCTCTCTTCTTCTCCTTGCCTCCTCCTCCATCCACTCTCCCTTCCTTCCCATCAGCACGTACGTGTGGGAGGGGAGCGACTTCTCTTTGTCAACGCCTCTCTGCCCCCCTCCGCGCTCCCCCCCTCCGCGCTGCCCTCCCCCTCACTGCCACGCTCCCCCTCCCCGTGGCTCAACGCGGGGGGGAGGCTGGAGGAGTGGGGCGGGGGCGAGGGGCAGTGGCGGCGGGTGGCATGGAGGGGCGTGAGGGAGAGGGCAGCAGCGTGTGTGACGCTGAGAGACACATTTGATACTGCCAGGGAAGAGTATCAGCAGGCGTTGCAGCTCCACCTGCAGTCCCTGCTCCCCCCGCTCTCCCCCCCTTCCCCCTCTTCTCCTCCCCGCCCGCCCGACCCTCCCCCGTCCGCTCTGCGCTCCTCCCTCTCAGCCCTGCGCCAGCGCCTGCTTACCGAGTGTGCTTATAACGGGGACGAGCTAGACTTGCCTGCAGAAGAGAGAGGGACGCTTAGACTGAGGGAGGAGGAGAGGAGGACGGGTAGGGGGAAGGCGGGGGAGGGGGGGGGAGGGCAACGGGAGAGGCCGGGAGAGGGTTTGCTAGAGGCAGACGGGGGGTGGCGGTGCAGGGGGGGCGAGCAGGGGAGGGAGGCGCGGGCGTGTGTGGGCGTGAGGGCGGGCGTGCATGTGTGGCAGCGGCGGCGGGAGCTGTTCCCACAGGCGGCAGTGGGCATGTCGCTGCTGCTGCAGTTCTTCCAGCAACCCTCCAACGTGCACCCCCTCGTCTCCCGCCTGCACGCCTGCGCTGCCAGCCGTGGTGGTGCTGCTGCTGCTGGTTCTGCTGGGAGCGTGGGGGAGGAGCAAGGGCGTGGGAGTGGGGGTGGAGGTGGGGGTGAGGGAGCAGGAGAGGCGGCGTGGGCGGGGCTGGGGGGCGAGGTGAGTTGGGATGAGCGAGGGATGGGGAAGGGAGGAGGTGCAGGGGCGGGGGCGGCGGAGGATGGGAGCATGGCAAGGGGTGTGGGTGACATGCCAGTGGGGGAGGGTGGCAGCGGGCAGGCGGGGTACGGGATAGAGCTGACCGCCAATGTGGATGAACCCTCGTCCTGGCCGCTCTGGCTGCAGATGTGGCGCGACACGGGGGGAGGACAGGGCGGGCAGGGAGGGCAGGGTGGGCAAGGGGGAGGGCAGGAGAGAGGACAGGGGGGAGGGAAGGGGGAAGGGCAAGAGGGAAGGGCGGAGGGAGGGCAGGGGGTGAGCCATTGGGCAGGGCTGTCACTGCCACCGCTACCCACTCTACCACAACCACAACCACGCCCCGACCCTACCAACACCACACTCCTACCCCCCTCACATCCCCCTTGGTGCGGGCATGAGAGGTGCACCCAAAGCTCCTTCCTGCGCGTCATCTTCCGCCACAACACCCACGAGGTCTTCGCCTTCAACCGCGCTGCCTCCGCCTCCCGCGCGCCCCTGCTCGCCCTGCTCCAGGACGACCTCCTCCCGCCCGCCTCCTGCCGCTGGCTGCACGCCATCCTGCACGCCCACGCCGCCCAGCCGTCCCTTGCAGCACTGGGGTACCGCACAGGCAAGGTGGATGTGGACAGCCGCGGGGGCGAGGGCGTGAGGGCGTACCAGCGGCAGAGCCGCGCGCTGTGGGCGCAGCCGGCGTGGGAGGCGCGGGCGGGCGTGCGCGGGTACATGGCGGGGGTGGTGGACTCGGGACCGCTGGTGGTGCGGCGCGCGGTGTGGGAGCGCATGGGGGGGTTGGATGAGGGCATGTCGACGAGAGGGCAGAGCGCCATGGTTGCTGACTGGGTGCTGGCGTTCCATGTGTGGATGGCCGGCCACAAGGTGCGTGCATGGGCCATGCGTGCATGGGCCGAGCGTGCGTGCATATGCGCCCGTGCTGCTGCTGTGCTGCTGCAGTGCTGCTGCTGTGCTGCTGCAGTGCTGCTGCTGTGCTGGTGCTGTGCTCCTGCAGTGCTGCTCCTGTGCCCTCACACTCACTCACTCCCTCCTGCATTGTGCCTCCATCTGCTTCTCCTCTCCTCGAAACCAACCTTCATTCTGACCCCCCCTCTCCTCACACCCCCACCTTTCTTCCCGCCCACCCTATTCCCCTCCTCTCTCATCCCCATGCCCTCTCCCCCCGGCCCCCTACCCCCTGACAGGCGGTGCACATGGCATGGGAGCGGGGGCAGGGCATGGAAGCAGCGGGGCAGGGGGGCACGCACAAGGGGGTGCAGCGGGCGGTGAGGCAGATGCAGAAGGTGGTGGGGATGGCGCAGTTCCAGCGCCACACCGTGGACGTGTATAACGGGCGGCAGCAGCAGGAGGTATACCGCACCAACCTCATGCTGCCACTGCTGGATGTGTGGCAGTGATGGGCGACAGTGAAGGGTTCCGGTGACAGGTGGAAGTGATGGGCAGCAGGCAGTGAGGGCGAAGCAGAAGGAGGTGGGCGTGGCGCTCGTCCAGCGCCACACCATGGACCAGTACCATGGACCGGTGCCATGGATCTCTGCAATCGCCGCCAGCAGGGCGCGGTGCCCCGTGCCAACCTCGTGCTGCCGCTGCTGGATGCGTGGTAGTGACGGGTGAGAGGGTGGCGGTGATGGGTGGCGATGGTGGGCGGCAGTGACGGTCGACAGTGAAGGGCGGAAGCGACAGGAGATGATTCGCTTGACTGCGCATGAACCGAAGCTGGATGTGTGGGATGGGGGTGATGCACGCTGCTGCTCGTCTGCCTGACCACCATGCTACAGCACAGCCACTGCAGCCTCGCCCTTGCAAGCATCACGACTCACCACAATCAGTGCATGGTGAGAATAAGCATGTTTAAGCATTCCATTCGACATGTTGTTTGCACTTTCAGCCCAGTATTCTGACAGCAGGGCGCTGTGGGAAGGATGGGATGGGTGGGATGCAGTGTGAGTGGCGGCACTTACTGAGGCGCCATGCTTTTCACATGTCAACCCATTCTGCAACGCCTTGTCGGTGCTGACATTATCAACATTATTTAAAAAGAATATGGTACAAGAACATCGAATCAGTGAATTTGTAAAGCCTGGCATGTGAGACAGAGCATCAGCTTGGTATACCGGCAGTGCTTCAGCTTGTTGCCAGTCGGCGTGCACGTCACTGCAGCAGCATCGCCAGCACCACTCAGTCGCTCTGGGAGGGCAGGCAAGCACGAGGCGTCTGTAAGCTGTGAGGCGTCACTCCCCACACCTTACTGATTCCCCACACCTCAACGGCGCAACCTGGACGTGGGGTGGGGGGTGTCACTCAGTGTCAGGCATGGAGCAGTCGAGGGCGGGCAGGCTGTGCAGCAGTGAGAAGATCTGCTCCACATCAAACGACGCCTCCCTCCCTCTTACTGGCCCCACTCCCTCCCCCTTCCCACTCCACCGCATCACTGGGCCATGGGGTGGCATCACTCAGGCATGGGGCAGTCGAGAGCGGGCAGGCTGTGCAGCAGGGAGAAGAGCTGTTCTGCATCAAACGACGCCTTCCTCCCCCGCCCCACCCCGCCACCCTCCCCCCCCCACACCACCTGCTCCTGCTTCTCCCCCTGCTGCTCCTCCTGCCTCGCCGCCCCTGCCCCCACCTGACTCTCCCCCACTGTCTCTCCCGCCCACCCTCCTCCCATCTCTGCCCCAACCCCTCCCGCCATCACAGCTGCATTCCCGCCTGCCACCCCTCCCACCACAGCTCCGCCACTCTCACCTGCGCCCTCCTTCCCGCTGCCCACGCACACCCCCGCGCCTGCACTCCCTGTGAGCACATTGGTCACCACCAGCGCGCCAAAGCTGTTCTCCGAGATCAGGATCCGCCTCGGCCCGCCCTCCCCCTCCCCCTCCCCCTGCGCCAGCCCCTGCCCCTCTCCCTCCCCCTCCCCCTGCGAAAGCTGCCACGCCACGCTGCTGCGGCAGCGCTGCAGGCGCCGCAGCCAATCAGGCATGGCGGCTGGGTCGGTGGGGGCGTCTCCGCCCGTGAGAGGCGGGAGGGAGGAGTGGGGGGGAAGCGGGGGGAGCGGGGGGAGCGGAGGGGGCGGGGGGAAGGAGGGCGTGAAGTGCACGGGAGCAACGGTGGGTTGAGAGAAGGCGAGTGTTGTGAAGGGGAGAGGGTCCGAGGGGCCTGCGAGGGGGGAGGTGAGGGCAGCGGGAGCAGAAAGCGGCAACTCCAGGGGTACTGCGTCATGCGCAGGCTGTGCCACGGGCGGACGGGGGTCCCAGTGGGCGGCATGCGCGGCCATGGAATGCAGGTCGTCCGCGGACAGCCGTGCATCCGCGCGCCTCAGACGGGCCACTGCAGGCGGGGCTGACGCTACAGCGCTCACGGCTGCGTGCACTTCTGCGCCCAGCGCGGCGGGCTGAGTTGGCTGGTTCAGGTGCACTTGAAGGTGGTCGCTGCTGTACTGTTGCTGCTGGCCCTGCGACCACTCGGCTGCTGCGCCAGCCATCTGCACCTGCTGCTGCTCCTGCTGCTGCTGCTGTGGTTGGTCGTGTTGCACCGGGTACTGAAACTGAAGCTGCTGTTGGTGCCATTGCTGCTGCTGCTGCTGTTGCTGCTGCTGTTGCTGCCATTGCTGCTGCTGATGCTGCTGCTGGTGCTGTTGTTTCTGTTCATACTGCTGCTCGTGCGCCCAGTGGGGGGGCTGCTGCTGTTGCATCAATTGCGCATTCACCCGCTCAGTGCCGCACGTGCACTCGCTGCACCGTGCCTCAACAACAGCAGGAGCGCGTTCCGCCGCACCCACGCGTCCCGCGCACGCCTCGTCCGCGGCCCATGGCAAGCCGCACGCAGCGGGGCCCTGAGGGGTGACGGGGGCGGAATCCGAGGCGGGGTGCTGCCACCCAGCGCTGCTGCTGGGGGGCGGGGGAGACGCAGAGGCGGACGCGGACGGCGGATGGGGGGCGGGAGCAAGCACGAGCATGGGCTGCTGCGCTCCACTCGCCCCCAACCGATCCGCACCCTGCTGCGGCCCCATAAAGTCACCGCTTCCTCCTCCGCCCCCTCTTCCTGCTGCAGCTGCAGCTGACCCCGCCGCCGCCCCCCTCATCTTCTCCTCCTGCTGCCTTTCGTGCCACTGAGCCGCTAGCCCAGCAGCAGTGGCGGTGGCCTGATCCGAAGCACCCCTCCACCCAGCACTGGCAGCAGTCGCACCTGCTGCCGCCACGCCCCCTGACACTTCCGCAGCAGAGCCCATCGCCTGGGGGACGCCCGCCTCCTCCGCCCATCCGCCACTCTCCGCTACACAGTCCCGCTCCGCGGAACGCCGCTGCTCGCCGCCCAGCGACGCGCCTGCCCACCCGCTGCCGCCGCCAACAGGCGACGCATCAGCAGCGGGGTGCGGCGAGGGGAGCGCGGCGGGGTGCATGCCCATCATGATGGTGGCGGGCGGCGCGTGCAGGTGCCAGCCGCTGTACGAGATGGCGAGGTCGCTCGCGGGCGAAATCTTGTTGAAGTCCACCACGCGCTTCGCATCGCACTGCTCGTCGCCCACGCGGTGCGCACAGCGGAAGTAGTGCCTGGGGGGAGGAGGAGATGGGGGGAAAAGGGAAAGGGAAAAGTTAGGAACAGGCATGGCACAAGAGACGATATCTTGGGAGGCTCCCTGAAAAGAACATGCAGATTAAGTTGGGAATATGCTTGCTGCTTGCGGCAAGGGAAAGGGAAAAGTTAGGAACAGGCATGGCACACGCGACGACATTTTGAGAGGCTCCCTGAAAAGAACTTGCAAATTAAGTTGGAAATATGCTTCAAGCATGCATGCATGCGTGCAAGTTGCTGCATGCGGCTGGAACACTTTCAGAGCAATCTTGGGCTTTGAACACGGTCACAACCTTTCTCAGTTCCCTTCCAGATGAAGGAGAAATTCGTGCAGGGCCTTACCTGGTGTGCGTGCCTCCTGATAGTTCCTTCTGGCCGTACTTGAGCCACACGTGCCCGTCGCGCGGCAGCCGGTGCTCAAACAGGATCAGCTTCGACCGCTTGCACGGCCGCGCCGCGCTCGACGATCCCGCCATCTTTCCCGCCGCCGCTTTCGGCGACTTCACATCGGACGACTCGTTGATTGCGTCGCCTGCCGCTGTGGGTGGAGTCAATGAAGTAACTATTACTACTGGAGGCGCCTCTTCTGCCGCCAGAGAGTCTTCGCTTCGTTCTCGCTTGATCGCGCGACCCTCCTTTTTGGTCGACTCGGCTTGGAGCCCTCCAGAGCCGTTAGTCTTTCTTCGATCTTCTTCCATGGTGATTTTGCCACCGAATCTGGAGCCGGCGTGGCCGGCGCAGCGTAGGGATATTGTACTTGAAATGCCTCCTCCAAGGAAGAAGCGGGGCTTGGAGTCGCGTGTAAGAGTTTCTAACTCAGCACACGGAGGCATGGTGGTGTCGCCTACGAATCACGTGCAGAATATTGAGCTTAGAGCGAATACATTGGTGTCGAGGCGAAATAACAAAACGCTGTTTTTGTAAGGCCACATGTCGAGGGCGGTGGTAGAGATAGAACGGTCCGCGTGATGTTGCTTGCTGGCTGGCAAAATGGATGTGCAAACGGGACTGTGTGGCAGAACTACGCGTTGGAACGTTCGCTGACAATTTTCAGGCTACCCGACAATATTTATTTTTTTCTGGAATGCGAAGTTCTGTTAGAGCCAACGCTATAAGATGAATTTCCATCTTGCGACCAAACGGCTCAGTTATCTTCCACCATTTTCTACAACTGATTGCGGGGCAACCATCATTTTTGTGGACGTTACTAGAAAGAAACACATTGTGAAGTGAGGCACGCCCAAACCAGTTTCCAGCCCACAATAGCATGTTGCTGGCTGACACGACACTGCACTCCACCCATGGTTGCGACTCGGAGTGGACTTACGCACCGTACTGTATCTCGTCAACCTCCGACAGTCTGAGCCCAGACAACGTCGCCGCTTTCCAGTTCACAAAACACGATGCCAGCGCACAATCAACGCGGACTTCATCAATGCCGTACGCGGTACACCTTGAGCGCGGATTCAATTCCATAGAGACGAATGAAGCCAAAAGCAACCGTGTGCTGTCAGCGACCCGCGTTTCACTTCACTCACGCGGAGAGTGTAGAAACGACATAAACATTACTGTTTCTGAGTACATGTTCTAAGCACAGAGCACTTTCAACAAAACATAGAATGCGTGACCTGACATCCATTCCATAAATCGTTTCACTACAGTTGTGCCATTCCATGTAAGCAGCAGGCAGCAGCGAGAAAATAGTAATAGTGACGACTTCTTTACGTTAATTCACAGTTGAGCTGTCGCTAACTATATTTAAAGGTCTGTACAGAAATTTGTTCTCTATTTCCTCGAGAAGTCGTGATGTTGTCTGGGCTTGTTCAAACATCAAACCCATGTACTGCTCAATCTTCGTCTTGTACCTACCTACTACCTAAACTGACGACCATACTGTACATGATGCAATATTCACGACACGACACGACCTTCGGTATGGAACAAACTGAGCCAAAGGGGCTTCTGGTCGGTGCTGTGCAAGCACGTACACAGTCACTGCTGCTGATTTCGTCACCCCATTGGCAAGGTTGGCGAGTGGGCCTGTCGCCACTGTACACTCGAATGCTGCACAGAAGCTGAGATTTTGATCGGAAAGCACATGAAAACTCAGGTGGAGAGCGCGAAAGCATAATACACCTGATGCCTATTTCAGTCCCGTTCCCCATCTTTCTCTGTGCTCCTCCCTCGAGCGCGTGCCCGCTAGGGGGGAAATGGGACTGAATGTAGAACAGTTGCCACAATTGTGGGTAGCCCAGCTTGTTTTGTCTGGGAAACTCGAATAACTTATTCGAGGTCAAGAATATCCTGGTTTTGTCGTGGGCCAGTAACGAGCGGGCCGTTGGCTGTGAATGTCGACCATTGGGAGTATGGAGTGGCAGTACCAGGGCTCAGGTTTGCAGTGTAATTTACCCTTCTACACTGATTACAAGGGTGAAATTTTGGGTCTACACTGATGTGCTGGGGTAATTTTTTTATGAGTTAGTGTTACACTGATCTGTAAGTGTATCGTTCTAGGCCACACTGATGCCTTGGGGTAATTTTTTACTTATCGTAGATTACACTGAAGTGCGTACAGAGCACCCCTCCCCCCCCCCCCCCCCCCCACGTACTTGCGTTGGCCGCTGTCATGTGTCCGATTGGTCAGTTAGGAATAATTCCCTTGCCAGCACGACACGCAATCCCACATTGGCAGCAACTACAGTATTGCTGCTTGAACTAAGTCCTGGGAGTGGGACCACATTCAGATTGTCGGTGCTTGGAGATGCAAACCACGGTCCCCGACCGTGGCGCTCTGTGAGTTTCTGTCCCGAAGCTTTGCCGTGTGGGCTCGGCAAGCACAGCTAGCAGTATCGTATGACACCGACCACCACCCCAAAGTCGCTCCTGTTTTAACCACTCAATCTAACAACTGAGCGACCACCACCTGGTAGCCATGGCTGCGCCTGGAGCACTGCCAATGCCGATGATGGCGACCCCTCTTGTAGCTATAGGCCAAGGACTGGTCTCGAGTTTTTGCGAGGCCATGTAACCGAATCTGCACCTCGCCCTTTGCCTGAGCCCTCGGATGACAGTGAGGGCTGGCAATTTCCTGTGCGCAAAGCTGTGTCACGGTCACCCCCGCCTGAGCAGGAGCTAGCTTCAGACGACGCTGAGACGCAACGTCCCACAAGCAATGAGGCAGACCTCGACGTTCACGGTGACGTGGAGACGACGGACATCGTCACCGAAGCCCCGGAGTCTTCTAATTCGGCAGCGCTGAAACGTCGCCGCTACACGCAGACAACGATTGGGTTCGGCGCCGGCACGCCGCTTGTGAAACCTCCTCCTCCGCCACCTCCCGCGGTCACTCCAGCGCCATCACCTCTCAAGCTGACTGCTGCTAAACGCGCTGAAGCAAAGTTCCAGGAAGCCAAGAGAAACTACATTACGAAATGGCTCCCGATGTTTGACTGGCTGTTGCTCGACAAGGCTGATGACGGCATGCCTTGCTTGCGTTGCAGTGTGTGCAGTGAACACGGCCCAGACAACGCACGATAGGGGAGGAATGGAAGCGGTGGCCGCGACTTGCAGCCAGCGTCGATGCGCGCGCACCAAGAAAGCACTCGCCATGAGGAATGCATCGACCGTCAAAAGGGGCTCCTCGACAAGTTGGCGGCGCAGAAGAAAATTGACGACTATGAGAGAGCGGACGTGGAGGGCGCGCGGGTGATCAGGCTCATGCGGAGCATTCAATTTGTGTGCGACGAAGACGCACCCATTGCTATGTTCCCGCGGATTGTGGAGTTTCTGGCTAGGGAGGGTGTGCCTGACATCCCTCGACAGGGCTACGGAGTTTACATCACGGAGTGAGTACCTTTTTTTATTCTTGGGTGATATTTTTCTATGCACGCTACGGAGGCTAATTTTTGGTTGCGCATCTTGCAGGTACGGTTTCAAGGAGATGGTGAAGGCTATGTGCACCTACCAGCAGCAGCAACAGATGATGTACATCCACGCGTTGCCTTGGATCGGCCTCAGTTGTGATGAAAGCACCGACAGAGCTCGCGGGAAGCATCTCGTGGTGTTAGTGACCTTCTTGAAGGACCGACAGGTTGCAACCGAGTTTCTGGCGCTCCTAACCGTCCAGAAGTGTGACGCGGCATCAATTTTCACCGTCTTACTAAGCCACCTAGAGACTGTCGGTCTGGATCTGCAGAGGATCGTCGCAATCAGCACCGACGGCGCGGGTGTGATGGTAGGCACCGAGCGGGGGCTTGTGGTGCATCTCCATCAGCGCATTCCTCATCTCGTCGGCACGCATTGCATCGCTCACAGGTATGGTGTTCAAATTCGTTGACTTGGGTTTATACCCACATACAAGTACTGTTCTAACCAATATGTGTTTACCTGTGCAGAGAAGTTTGTCAAATTATAATGTTGTCTAGGCTTTAGTGGGGTAGCCCATATGGGGTACACATTTCTAGGGTTGCATATTTGTATCACTTTCATTCCATAGTCAATCCATTTCTCGTTCTAATTTCCTCATGGTATCGAGCAGGTTTCCCCGTGGGAACTGTGCCTAGGGCCCACCACATCCAGTTTTTTTTTTTTCCTACCCGAAGCGCGCTCAGCCCGAGTCGCGCTCTGGGCTCTAACTTCGTCGAGCCGCCCTAGCGGCCCCAACGCCCTAGCGGCCCCGCAACCCGTCGATTCGGCCCCGCAGCCCTTCACTGCGGCCCCGCCGCCCTTCACTTCGGCCCCGCCGCCCGTCTCAGCGGCCCCGCCGCCCTTTGCTGCGGCCCCGCCGCCTCTCTCGCTGCGGCCCCGCCGCCCTTCTCAGCGGCCCCGCCGCCCTTCGCTGCGGCCCCGCCGCCCTTCGCTACGGCCCCGCCGCCTCACATTGCAGCCCCGCCGCCCTTACCTGCGGCCCCGCCGCCTCACACTGAGGCCCCGCCGCCCGTCTCAGCGGCCCCGCCGCCCTTCGCTGCGGCCCCGCCGCCTCTCTCGCTGCGGCCCCGCCGCCCTTCTCAGCGGCCCCGCCGCCCTTCTCAGTGGCCCCGCCGCCCTTCTCAGCGGCCCCGCCGCCCTTCACAGCGGCCCCGCCGCCCTTCTCTGCGGCCCCGCCGCCTCTCTCACTGCGGCCCCGCCGCCCTTCTCAGCGGCCCCGCCGCCCTTCACGGCGGCCCCGCCGCCCTTCACTCCGGCCCCGCCGCCCCTCCCACTGCGGCCCCGCCGCCCTACCAGCGGCCCTACCGCCCTACACCGCCCGCGCCGCCCAAGCCGCCCGAGCTGCCCGAGCCGCCCGAGCCGCCCGAGCCGCCTGAGCCGCTGAGGAGCCGAGCCGCCCGAGCAGCCCGAGCCGCCCGACCTGCCCGAGCCGCCCGAGCCGCCTGAGCCGCTAAGGAGCCGAGCCGCCCGAGCCGCCCGACCCGCCCGAGCCGCCTGAGCCGCCCGAGCCGCCTGAGGAGCCGAGCCGCTGGTGCCGCGGAGCCGCAGT